TAAATTCCTTAATAATTCCGTATACATTAATTTTTTAAAAAATTATAAAAAAATAAATCATTATAAAACATACGGAAATTTGATATAGAATCATTAATTACGTATACAAACCTTATAAAAAATGTATCATTTTCTTATTTTGATTTCTTATAGGGCAATTGACTTATTTCTAATAAAGGATGAGACAAAGAAAAACCTAATAGGCAAATCATTATGTTTAAAGTCAAAAATATATTCAGTTCTTCCAACAGGTCATGATCCTAAAACTTCTGATAACTCAGATTTTAAAGATTCTAAAAAGAAGCATAGCATCTAAAAGGCAAAGATGTTAAGAAATGCATGATTAAAAGAGAGCTTCGATATGATAAGTTCCTAGAATGTCTTAGGAATTAGAAACTAACTCAACATGATATATATAATCTACGTAGTTACGATTATTAAATATATCTGAAAAGGGTGAAAAGGGTAAATAAGATAGGGCTGAATCCATATGATAACAAGCGCTAGATCTTATTTGATAGAATTCGAACCTCCCATATGGTCATTAGCGAATTAGACTATATAAACGCCTGATAGTATCTGAAATAACTCCTGAGGAAGCAGAAAAAAGAGCTATGAAAGACAAACTTTATGTCAAGACATAGATGCTTTATAACAAATATTTTTTTGAAATAAAAAAATTAGTAATAATTAAAGGATATATTTTTTATTAATTAAAATTTTTTTATTGCTAAAGTAGAAAGATACAAAAATGGTTGATCATAAGGATATAGAACTTGCGCAAATCAAAGTTATAAGAACAGCATTGCGAAAGGGCAGAAAATATGATAATGTTGCAAAAAATTATGGAGACTACCTAAAGAAACTGCAAGTTGAAAAGGATCTGAATAACTATATTAAGACACTTACAGTAAAGATGTTTTTTAAGGAAAAAGCATATGCTGAAAGGCTAGAAAATTATCGCAAAAGGTATGAAGATAATGATCTATATATCAGTTTAGAGGAATTATATGAGTTTTATTATTATATATCTAAGGAGGAGAATCGGGAAAGATCAGATGATGAAATAGAGCAGATGCTCAAAGCAATAGTAATCTAGTGAACAACACATACATGTAAATAGGAAGACAAGTTATAGTACTAGGATAATATTGTAGATTTTGTTCATGCATAATAAATATTCAGTTATTTTTTCTAGGTATAGAAAATGCTATCTAAAAAATATTAACATATTTAGAAAAAGAAAAGATCAAAGACTCCATTATAGCATTAGAATATGATGTAATAAAGATACATCAAAATCTTAAGAATTGCTGAGAAATCTATTATCTATATGATGCTATGTCAGATTTCTTCAAAATCAAATCATTCTCTGAATCATCTGAGTTCAGTTCACCCAAAGAAATTATAGAGGAGATAGTTGTATCCAAAGAAAAGAAAGACAAATTCTATCAGCTAAAAAAGGTTAAGCGGACTCAAATAATAGATTAATTGAATCAGATAAATTATCATATATAGCTAAAAAATCGAGAAATAATAGTTGCAAGACCGCAGGTAAGTTCACCACTAATCCCATGCAATACTTACCATTATGCAATCCAACCAAATATAAACACATATATGATAGGACAACTGGATTTATTACAGTTAAAAATATAAAACAAAACAGGATTGTAAGCGTGTTTAATTATCCTGTACTTTGTGAATTTCTGGCAGTCCAATCCAACTAGCCAAAGCAGTGATCACATAATTTTATTTTTTGTTTAAAGATATAGCATATATTATTTATAGCGTATACAAGTGTTTTTAATATAGCAGAATTATTAGAACAGATTTTACATTTCTTAGCGATAGATAAATCTCACTATCCCACTCTATATATTTCCCGATTGTGATACAGATGTGATGTTTGTATTCTATGAAAATGCGTTGAGCTAAAGGGAAATAAAGCAGAAGATAAATCTCAATTGGAAAGATTTATGAAATTAGTACATAGTATAAGAAGAACGAAAACCAATTTATAGCTCGAAATTAACTCATTTTAAAATATTGCACTACTGATTTTCTAATAAGAAAATCAAAGGCATTGTGCGCATGTTCCCAGATGTAAGACTTTAAAAAACTATAGATCCTACTGGTAAAGCTTTAAAGCTAATAGCGAATCATACCTAAATTTGGAATACAGTCGACCCCCTCTACAGTCACCCCCTATACAATCATATCATATAAATCCTCCGTTATAAGCACACCTTTCATAAAAACCAGTTCCTATTAACACTATATAAAAAAACCCTTCT